GCCCTTTGTGTGACGGTCTCCGCAAAATCCCGGGGTGAAAGTTCAAAGCCCTTTCGGGCCCCTTAAAGTCTTGGTTGACGTTGGAAGGGGAGCAACAAATCTTTTTTGCAGTTAAGTGGCTGGATTTCAACCACTAAACCACAATTTGTAAAAATGGAAAATGTTTCCCAACGACAACCTTGAAGTAGTCTTCAAAGCTTGAAAGCTCGAAGCTCAACACCCTTCCGCGCCCTTTAAAGTAGTCCCCCCCACTTCCCAGGCCCCCGCCCCCCGTCAACGGCAGAGGAGTGGTTGAAAGCAATTTTGCCCCACCCTGCACGGCGAGGAACCAGCTTCTTCAGCTTCCAGTTGAGACGGACCGGCGCGCCCTGCTTGTCCACATCCGCGCACCTAGCCAATTCCGGATGGCCAAGCGGTCAGTAAGCCCCAAGAAAGCCCCCAGTAAGGAATCTGAGAGGCCATCTTCTAGGAATCAGCCCCAGTGAAGCCAAGCTTATCAGGTGTAATCTAAGAAACCATCTCAGGCTACTCGCCAAATATGAGGGGTGTGGGCTAACGTCCTGGAGGATGTCCAGATGGTTTCTTGGATGTAAACGCTTGTAATCCGGGATGCTACCCCCTGAACTCACCCCCAGACCAGGCCATCCCTTCAGGATTGACCAGGTCTTGAGTGGAATCACCAGGTACCTTCCCGCATGTTGCGTGCTAGGGAACCTACGTAGGTAGTTGATTAACACAACTCTTTACTCTCTGAGTGAATTCGCCAAACCACTTCAACGGTCTTCCCACAAGTATTCAGTCCAGAAAGCTGGGGAAGGGCTGCCCGCCCACTAGAACGCATATTGAAGCATACCTGGAGATTCGTTGCGGCAGAAATGTCTGCCGCAAATCCAAAAAGGCGCCTTTTTGGATTTGCGGCATGTCTTCCTGATTTGCGGCGATTTTTTAAAATTGCGGCAGAACTTGTTTTCAGTCTTTTTCCACCCCCCGATTTGAGGCGGAAATCGGCGGGAATGCGGCGGAAATCGGGGGGAATGCGGCGGAAATTCCCGGAAAACAAACGGTGTTGCGGAGTTTTTGTTTTGGTTGCAGCGTGTTTTTTGTTTGCGGTTGATTTTCTGGAATGCGGCGGGAAGTTCCGCCGCAATGCGTTGCGGCAAAACTTTCCGCCGCAGGAAGTTCTAGATTCTAGGTATATTGCATGGCCTAACTCGAATCATGAAAAAGCATGGGACGCAATGACTTCACGGATTCGGAGCTCAACAAGTTGAGCGTTCAGCTTCCCAAATGAAACCGAAGAGAACAAGACCGGACGGCCAGGTTTCGGAACTGAAACCTATGAGTAAGTTGCGAGTTCATTGGCTGGAGCCGGGTCTTCAATTCTTACACACGGCCACGCCTACCGCCACCCTGCCACCAAGACAGCTTGTCCAAGGGAATGCTGCAATTTGCGAATATGGGAAGCGTGAAGGGTTTCCCACACCAACCCCACAAACAAACACATCAATGCCTTCATCTGTGTTGCTCCGAGCGAGGAGCTGCACATGCCCAACCTTCCCAATACACAATGAGCTGGGCTCCAGTCACTGGCCTATCCTCTGGCTTTACAAGTCTTGGGTAAGCAACCGTGAGAAATAAGCCCTTTCAAGGGAATCCGTAGGGGCTTTCTTGAGGAACGCAGGGAAGGCTATGAAGGGGGTTACCAGCTGGGTAGGCCTCCATCGGTTTTCAGGGTTTTGAGAGGTTTTGGAGGTTGATTATGTGTCGCCGCGAATCCAACCGCAGACAAGCAATAACATTGTCGGGTACTCACATGAAACAAGCAATGGTTTTGGTGGCCGAACATGTGCAGGGAGAATGGAAGCCGTCCTTTTCCCTTCGGGCCCAGCAACGACTCTTGAACAAAGGCCCCGGGCAGGGCGTCGCTGAACTGCTTCAGGCCGTTGCGGAAAGAGCCAACGGTCTGGCCTGCAATCGCAGATCCTGTAAGGATTGCTGAAAAAAACTCACTTTTTTGGGCCCATGAACTCAAGGAGCGAGTTGTTTGGGCCAAAAAGAGTCCTTTATTTTGGCTACCACTAAAGTCGCTGAAACGGTCCTCCCAAAAGATTAAAGTCCAGGAACCCGAAGGAAGTGGCCATGTTTCTTCGCCCACACAGACTTCCCAAGCTTAAAGTCCACCAACTGGGAAACCGAGATGTACCGCTGCACCACCCCCAGCGAGAACAAGCAGTGGTCGAAGTGAACATAAACTGAACATGTCCAGTCTTGCCCCCAAGGTGCGAAGAGTTTGGAGGAGACCCCAAATAATCGGCTGACCCGCCTTTCACTTCCGGCAGCCGGGGGTCCCTGGGCTCCGCTTCGGTGTTCGCGCGGTCCTGGGAGGTGGAAGCCCAAGGGCCAAGCCCATCTGAGCAATGCTCAAGACCCGTGGTATGACCACCACATTCGGCCCACGTCTGGGCTGGTTACTCAGTTGCCCCTTAAAAACCTATCAATGTGATCACCCTCTGGGGCCACTAAAAATTAACCAACATGGGAAAACCAAAAGGCTAAAAGGTCGGCTTTGGACAAGCAAAACTGGGAGGAACTACCATGTTGAAGCCTCAAACGCCGACGTGTGTGTGTGTGTGTGTGTAGATGTTTCTTGGATAAGAACCTCTCGGAACATTCCCCTTGAACCCAGTGACCAGTGGCTTCCTGAGCTGCTCTGGCTATTGCCGCATGTGCTAAAGTCGAGCTTGCTTGCAAAGTCGTGGACAAGTTGAAGGTTCGACCCAAAGGCCAGACCTCGGCCCCTTGAAAAAAAACCTCAAGTTCTTGCTGGTCAACATGGAGCATCCAGGAAACCCCAACGGGCAAAACGGGGGTTGGCTGAGTCCAGGCATAAGCGCCACACACGCCATATGCGAGCAATCGGGTCCTGGAACAGCTTGATGGCGCCGGCCTAAGGTGATGGATGGGCCAACCAGGGCGGATTTGCAAAAACCCACCCTGCAGGAACCAAAGGAGTCAAAGCCTCCGGTCTGGGAAGGTGAGCAAGGCATGAAAATCAGGTCCTTCTTGAGGCCCTGTTTTGGGGAAGACAATTGCTCGATCGCCTTCTTGGGACGGCCATGAGACATGAACTGATACTGGTTGCCTCGGTCTCGGTGGAAAAAGCTGGGCCGCGGACAACCAGGGAGCCGCCGTTCTTCTCCAGAACCTGCTGAAAGAAACACCAAACCAACTCCTAGGAGTTGGAGCCCGTTGGACTTGAGAAGCGACACGCGTCTGTCCATTTGCTGGACAGTGACTACATTTAGATATTAACTTAAACTTGCGCCTTTTGCGCTATCAGATTGAGGTTGGTGGAAGTTCTCTTGGAGCGTGGAAAGCCGAGTCTACAGTCGTTTTCCACCGCAATCTGACGAGGGGCTAGGCAATGCTTCGCGATTTACCTCAGAGAAGCGAAACCAGCGCAGCAATGACAGGAGGACAAAATTCCTCTTGTCGCGCACAAAATATGGAACCACCAAGAGGCGCACGCCAAAGCTCTCGCACAAGCGCAGCTTCCTTGCATCTCTCTCAAGTTGCCGCTGAAACTTTTCAGGGGCCAATGAGTTGAAGTAGGAGTCGGGCTCAAAGTGCTGCTCGCCGTGGTATTCAAAAGCCAGATTCAACGCTGCACAGTGACCATCCAACTGCAACCCCGCCAGAAACGCCGGAAAGCTCGACGGAAACCTGTGCTTGGCAAATATATCCTCAAAAAGGTCTCTCACAGCAGATTCCGTCCGCCACCTGCTGCGGGAGCAAGATGGACACCAGGAACCTTGGTGAAGAATACTGCTTGGAATGGCTTCCCACGTGTGACCAAGGTGGCACTGCCACACTACCTTGTGCTTGCAATTCCTGTAGGCTGCAGCCAAGCATTTGCCGCCTAATTTTTGGGCATGCTGCTGCAGCCGGCGCAGGCCAATCGGGGCTTTTCCCGCACAGTGAGGGCACCAAGTTCCAGCGTTCAAAATGTGTGTTGCTGAAGCCATCCATGTGTGGCCCTGCTCACATCGCCATGGCAGCTTTGCGGTGTTGTTTTTGTATTTTTCCGCCAGGCACACCCCACCCTTTCTTGCAGCATGCTCCTTCAAGCGCTGAAGCCCGACAGGTCGTCTGCCTGAACAGACGGGGCACCATGAGTGTCGGTGCAAAATCGAATGAGCACTGGCGTACCAAAGGTGCCCAAAGCTGCATTGCCAAGGTAGCTTCTCTCTACTGTTCACATACTCATCAGCCAAGCATTCTCCGCCCTTCATCTCAGCGTGCTCCTTCAACTGTCTCAGCCAAGATGTCCGCTGACAGCGCCTGGAGGCGCTTGATGACGTGCGCGTCACACGCAGCAAGTCTGACACACCTGTCGCCTTCTGCAAAGCGCCCTTATTGCACCTTACTGAACGTAGAAGACCTCGCTGCATCGGCGTCCAGGCGAGCTGCTGCAGCCTATGGTGCCTCCTGGACCACCGAGCCACACAGCAACTCCTGATAAGAACAAGGCAGAGTGGGCCAAACTGATGTCAGCATGCGAGCCAGGTCAAGCGAGCACGTACGCGGAGCAGCTACTTCACAAAGCTTATCGTACACAAAAGTTGTCAGCCAGATCACAAACAGTTCCAATTCTAGCCAAAGCACGTGCACATAGAGGTGATCACAATTTGGCATCCTCACCAAATATGGTGTCCAAGCAAGGAAAGCCAATAGGTCCGACTTGGGTCCATATGAGTATGTGTTCAAATAGGCGCACGCCAATGCGTGGCCTATGCAATGACCAATGTTCCTGGCACTTGCATTTGCGGAAGGACCTTGGAGGGAGTCCCCTGCCGCTGTGAACATCACGTTGTTTTTCCCTGCCCAAGAATTCCGCCAGTTCATCTTGTATCATCTTACAATGGCAACACGCAACACTGTCCTTAATCCTCCCAAGAGTGTGTTGATTGGACCACTGCCAAGTAAGCCTCTGGTTGGCCTTAGGGCAAGGGGCAAGCTGACCTCTTGCGGGGCAACGGGCCTGGCCAACAGCGCTGGGCCTCGGCCGAATAAAACATGCCCAAAACTGAAACCCGCTAGCAAATGCCGGGAATTCGCCAAAGGAATTCAAACAAGCTGTGACCTATGGACAACTAAAGGTTTCTCTCCTGCAGATGTTCTCTTTTTTTAGTATCAGACAACTTTCTGGAGTCCTAGGTTAATTTTTTGCATGTGCTGGTCATATCCATCAGCACAGCCCTCCATCCCTCCATTCTGGCTTGTCTGAGGTCCCAACAGCAACCCCGCCTGACCCCACCGGTCGAAGATGATGTCCACTGCCCTCAAACCACTACCCTCAAGGAACAACGGGCCACTACCATCCACAAGGTATTCATCTGCAATCTTTCCTCTAAAATAGTTTTCACGATCCCCAATCCACAATTTCTGATGGGGAAATGCGAGCTCGTGAGCCCTCCACAGCCTCTCATCCCCAAACCCCTCCACTGAATGCACATACCCTGTATTCGGTGGCCCTAAGTCTCACAAAGGGGCCCGCCTGCACCCGGCCCGTGGCCGCTTCCGCCGAGAGCGTGGAGGGGTCTCCCGCGTAGACCTGAGTCTCAAGGTTACTCCAATGAATCCGGAACCTTTGGGTAGAAATGTTGGCAACCCCTGCCATCTATATGTATGTATATGTGTGTGTGCGTGTGGTGTGTGGTGTGTAGTGCTGTGTGGTGTGTGGTGTGTGGTGTGTGGTGTGTGTGTGTGTGGTGTGTGTGTGTGTGTGGTGTGTGTGTGTGTGGTGTGTGTGTGTGTGGTGTGTGTGCTGTGGTGTGTGTGTGTGTGTGGTGTGTGTGTATGTGTGGTTTGTGTGTGGTGTGTGTAGTGTGTGTAGTGTGTGGTGTGTGTGGTGTGTGTAGTGTGTGTAGTGTGTGTAGTGTGTGTGTAGTGTGTGTAGTGTGTGTGGTGTGTGTAGTGTGTAGTGTGTGTGTGTGGTGTGCGTGGTGTGTGTGTGGTGTGTGTGGTGTGTGGTGTGTGTGGTGTGTGTGGTGTGTGTGGTGTGTGTGGTGTGTGTGGTGTGTGTGGTGTGTGTGGTGTGTGGTGTGTGTGTGTGTGGTGTGTGTGTGTGTGTGGTGTGTGTGGTGTGTGTGTGTGCTGTGTGGTGTGTGTGTGTGTTGTGTGTGTGTGTGGTGTGTGTGTGTGTGTGGTGTGTGTGGTGTGTGTGTGTGTGTGGTGTGTGTGTGTGTGTGGTGTGTGTGTGTGGTGTGTGGGTGTGTGTGTGTGTGGTGTGTGTGTGTGTGTGTGGTGTGTGTGGTGTGTGTGGTGTGTGTGGTGTGTGTGTGGTGTGTGTGTGTGGTGTGTGTGGTGTGCGTGTGTGTGTGTGTGTGTGGTGTGTGTGGTGTGTGCGTGTGTGTTGTGTGGTGTGTGTGTGTGTGCGTGGTGTGTGTGTGTGTGTGGTGTGTGTGTGTGTGGTGTGTGTGTGTGTGGTGTGTGTGGTGTGTGTGTGTGTGTGGTGTGTGTGTTTGTGTGTGGTGTGTGTGTGTGTGGTGTGTATGGTGTGTGTGGTGTGTGTGGTGTCTGTGGTGTGTGTAGTGTGTGTATTGTGTGTAGTGTGTGTGTAGTGTGTGTAGTGTGTGTAGTGTGTGTGTAGTGTGTAGTGTGTGTGTAGTGTGTGTGTGTGTGTGTGTGGTGTGTGTGTGTGTGGTGTGTGTGTGTGGTGTGTGTGTGTGGTATGTGTGGTGTGTGTGTGTGTGGTGTGTGTGTGTGTGTGTGTGGTGTGTGTGTGTGTGTGGTGTGTGTGTGTGGTGCGTGTGTGTGTGTGTGTGTGTGTGTGTGTGTGTGTGTGTGCGTGGACGTGCGCGTGCGCGTGCGCGTGCGCGTGCGCGTGCGCGTGCGCGTGCGTGCGTGCGTGCGTGCGTGCGTGCGTGCGTGCGTGCGTGCGTGCGGGCGCGTGCGTGCGTGCGCGTGCGTGCGTGCGTGCGTGCGTGCGTGTGTGTGTGTGTGTGTGTGGGTGCGTGTGCGGGTGTGTGTGCGGGTGTGTGCGTGTGTGTGTGTGTGTATTTAACCTGTAAAACGTGAAAGACTCAACCAAAGCAACTCAAACATCCAACCCCATTTCCACAGCCCAAATCGCCATTTTCCATGACTCACATGTGCGATGCGCTCTCCGGGCGCGCCGGGCGCCGCTCACGAAGGGGTCGATTAGCCGCTCAAAGGCCTGGCAAGCGCCCGCGTGGCGCCCGAAGCGGAGGGTGGCCTGCTGCAGATCATAAAATATATACACAAACAGACATCAAACCGACATCAAGTGTGCGATACGTGTGATACATGTGTATGGAACCTATCAACAATGTAACAAACGTGTGCATTGGCAACTACATTCCCAAGGAGGTTTGATATAAACAGCACGGCAGCATTTTCACTCCAAGCGATGCGATGCGAATCTAGATAACCCACCTTTTCCTGTGGGATTTGCGTTGGTATCCACAGCATGAATTACCTCATGCTGTGGCCCAGTCAATTCGCCGATTTCCTCGGCACCTCGGGTTTACCCCCGATAAGCTCTGGATGCCCTGCATCAAGCAGAATGCATTTTTCGAGGCACTCACTCTCTCAAAAAACCCCCCAATGCACTCACAGGAACTCAGCAAAGGTAATCACTGCTCGGTACGGAAGCCTCAGTAGAGCTGGAGGGAAAAGACTGAAGGACAGCTTGAAGTGGTTGGCCTGGTACCATGGGTCACTGGGTCCCAACCGGCTGATCGCATCAGCCCAATTGGATTTGGATGGAATGTACTCCCAGTAAAGGGAAGCTCGTAACGCAAAGAGCAAACACTGAATGTACGTCGCCATCTTGGCCAAGTCGGGGTTGTCGCTCCTGCCCCGAATCAAACACATGAGACTGGCGATGTTGTCAATGAACCACACTCCGCGTCTCCCGCGAAATTGGTCGGGCCTCGCCGTGAGGGCGTGCAAGCTCCAACTGGGCGATCTTGTGGTCGCCGGGTCCCCACATGTCGTAGACCTGTGAAGGGATGATGGCCACAAAGGCCTCCCGGACCTGCACATTGCCGTCCTGGAAGACCAGGTGGTATCCGCCGGACCCTTGTCGAGGGCCTCCAAGGCCGCGTCCGAGGCAGCCACCCTTGGCACGTCCATGGGCAGGACCATCAACTCCCTCCTTGGTCGCATACTGATGATGGCCTCTAACACATCAAAGGCCGACAGGAGGCTGGCACTGGCTCGGCTGGAGCCCCCGTACTGGTTGGTGATCCTGTGCACAAAACTAATTTGTTGGCATCTCTTGACGATGCGGATTGCCCGCCCCGTGCTGCGTCGTCAATCAGACGTTGTTTGGTGGAGGCCTGTGTGATGACACAGCGAGGTATGAGCCGGTAGGGGTCTCCTTTGGCATACCGTTTGAGCTGGCACAGGTTCATGGGGGGGGTGCAGAACCCCTCCTTGTGATCCTTGGTGGACTGCTCAAGGACAAAAGCGTCGGTGGAACCCGGCCGCACGCCCGCGATGGTGACGGCGTTGAACCAGCCAGCACGTCCGAATGGGCGATCGCCTCGACGGGCTGGTGAGGAAAGACTCCGTAATGAGGGGCATAGCCCACTGCGGGGAGACCCTTGATGAAACCGTGAGGGAGGGCGAAGTCGCCCCACTGCATAAGGACGACGAAGAGTCCCAGCAAACCCAAATCACGCTTCGAGGTAAGGTCACGAGGTGCTTAGACACCGGCGCCCACCTGCGCTTCAGCTCCTTGATGGCGCCGATGGACGCTCGCCGACGTTCCTTCAAGTTGTGATTGTCCATCACCATGCTAGCCGCGTACCATAGGTCGTCATCCAACGTGGGAAGAACTTCCAACGGGGTTGCCGCAGCGGTCCATTGCAGGGATGATGACAAGTGGGCGTCTGGGTCCAGCCCGTATCCTACCAGAGGCGGGATGGAGGCCTTGTGGTTGTAGGCTCCGTGCTGCTTGCCCTCCGCCAGGCGCTGCCGCCTCCGACTAGCGTTGGACGAGGAGGGTGGTCCCAAAGGTCCATCCCACTCCATCCCGTGACTCTAAGTAGCTCCTGGTTCAACAGGTCCTCCAACATGGGCCACTAGAAAGCTTGGAACCATTCGGCTGGGTAGAGCTTGCGAAAGGCCAGGATGACATCCTCCTGAGGAAACCAGAGCAACATCGACTTCATGGCGTCACCACCGCGGAGCGAGCCCATGATGGCCACTGCCCTGAGAACAGAGCCCGGGCTTGCCTATGCCGCCTCCCAGTAACTCTGTAGGCTGGGCTCGGCGTCCGGGTGGGTCGCATCAAAGACCATCCCAGCCAGCGCGTCTGCCTCGCAGATACCATCCTGGTCGCAATCGCATGCCAATCGCTTGCCCTGCAGTGAGGTCAGCTCCGCCTGCAGATTGGCAAGGATAAAGTCCACATAGAGCGGAAGCCAATCGTCCGTCATACAGGTGTGTTGCCCGCTGTGACCGTGGGACCCTGTGGTAGTGGTGGCCCTGCCCCACGTAGACTACGTCCGGCGGCAGCTGGCCATCTGCGAGTACGTCAGCCACTCGTACCACCGTAGCCAGTCTCGCTCGCTCCTCGGGATGCAGCGGTGGCAACCCGAGTGTGATGGCTAGCGGAGTCATCGCCCAGCTGCGCATAGCTCTGGGATCTATATCCAGCCAGTGCTGTCTGCGGCCACACGCCTCCAGCGGCGGCATCCGTGGCACGCGGAGTCGGGCATGCCCTTCTCTGGCCGCCCACCAGCTGACCGAGACCGCAACTGCGAAGGCCAGGGTGGCCGAGTATTCCGCTTCTTCCTTGGACGGGAACTGGTGCGCAAGGCTCCTCTGCCATCTTCCGCGATAGCCTGGAGCTGCTTCAAGATCCAGGAACAAGCCGCGTTGTCCACGTCGACTCGCCTCTGGTTCTTGGGGTCGAGTCCTGGCAGGCCTTCCGGGTGCTCCTCAGATCGCAGCGGCTTGGGACCTGGGCGGCCATCTGCAAAGGTTCTAGGAATCTCTCTGGCCCTGGATCTCGTGGAGCAGTCCAAGGCTGCTGCTGCGAAGGCTGCTGACCGCATTGGTGCTTCCAGTGCTTGCTGCCTCAACGGGTTGGATAGATCGTGCCCCGGGTCCAGAGACCAGTCGATGGGCAAAACCCTCCAGCCACAAAACAGAAAAGCCTTTGCCAGGGGCATGTTTTGGGACCGCACATCAGGTCGATCAGTGGCGGTGCGAGAGTTCTAACCGTATGCCCCTGAGGATTGCGGCCTGACCGTGTGGGCATGTGTGGGCATGACTGCCCAGCCTTGCATTGCCCGTGCTGGAAAGCTTGGCATAGCACTGTGCCATCTCTCATGACTCGTGCGACTTGGCAGGCAGACCCCTGCTGGCGCTCTTTGGCAGGCGCCGAAAAATTCCCGGCCGGGACCCAGTGGGCGTCGCGTGCCTCATATGAGCTTCCACCACCTCCGCAGCCAATTGAAAATTCTTGCCTAGCCTGTCCAGGCAATCGGCCCCGTCTGACGGCACAAGGTAAGGGGAAAACAGTACTGTCACCCGGGCCTCAAAGGACTTCCCATAAACTTCGAAAAGGGGGGGATGACCAAATCAACCCATCCCTCGACTCATGAAAAAGTGTGTGGGAAGGATTCCCCAGCGTGCACTCGCCGGTTCCTCCCCATTCCGTAGCCGGCGGCCGTATGGGAGGTAACGCCCCCGGCCTCCTCCCTGGTATCCCCAGGGTGCCTGCCACGGTGCATGTGAAATCGGTTGCAAATAGCTGAAAAACGAATGCCACATGGTCAACTGGCTATGCTCCGTGACTCATGCATGCTGGGGCACTCTGATGCCCTACCCTGCTGCTCCCGTTTTCCACACGGAAGACTGGATCAGGCAAATGCCCCGCGGCACTCCCATGGCGTGCAAAATGGGGGACTAAATTCCGGGCAACCCAAATCCGGCGCCCATGAACCAAAATCGGCTCAGTGAGGGAGGAAACTAGCCGGGCACTTGCTTGCTCAGGCAAGTTCGGCAAAGCTGCTCCCATGCGATCCCTCGAACGTCCGAGGTGGTCAGCGGGTAGGAAAGCCAAGCAGTCATGTGCTGGCAGAGCGGGTAGCGTGGCGTGGACCTGGATCTTAGCGGTGGCCATGAAACCGGTGCACACCGGCTCAGACACACCTGCTGAAGAGCTCGCCAGTGTCTGGTGCACCCATCTGGCCAGCTTGCGGTCCTGCAGGGTCTTGGTGATCTCCACGTCCCGGCATCCCCGGTCGGCGTGGGCGATGGCGAAGTACTCCACGTGAGCCCCGGACAAGGGAACACCTTGCCGCTGGGCCAACCTCTCAGGGAAGCAGACCACCTGGAGGCTGCATGCTGGGAAGGCTGCGGCTGTGACTGCGGTCTTTCCCCTCCAAAATAACCTGGCTCTGCCGGACGCCGGGTGTCCGCCAAAGCGGGGCTGTCCTCGATCTCCGCCTCCTCAACGTCCACGGTGCTGCAGCCGTGCGAAGCTCCTCGGCCGACGGTCTGGACGACATTGGCCCAGCCGGGGCAATTGGCAGCGGCGGGGGCAGGATTCTCCGGCGCTTCTTGGCTGGTGCCTCAGATGGCGCCCCTGCAGGGCGGGTCGCTCCCACCTTTACAGGGCCAGCCGGCACAGGCAGCCCCATCTCGCGAAGCTTAGCCTCGGTCATCCTCCTCTTGGCTCGACACTCACTGGCCGAGTGGCGCCCTCCGCATGCCCTGCCTGTCTGCTGCAGCATCGCGCACAAGTGCTCTCTTGCGCACGGATCTTGGCGGCATTCCCCCGTGTTGAAGTCCGGGCACAGCGCTGTGCCATTCTTCAGATGCCCCGTTGAGGAAGAGCTCCCCCAGCCTGGATGGCATGGCCTTGACCGAAGGCGCGGGCCTCCTCATCCGCTCGCGGGCGTTGCGCACGAGCGACTGGCTCAGGGAGAAGCGCCTCTTTAGCGCAGTGGTCTGCGGTGCCCGGCACGCCTGGGCGGCTTTGACCTTCGCCTCCTTGTCGGCCTCGGCAATCTCCTCCTCGGTGACCGTCTCCCAGGCTTCGCAATCTGCGACCTTGGCAGCCACGTGGAAGGCTCTCATCTTGGTCCGAAACGGCATCGAGACGCGCTCTTCGACCTTGTCCTGCCAGTCCCCCAGGGAGACTATCTCCGAGTCCTGAAGGCGGAGCAAGGAGCCCACTGTCGGCAGCAACCGCCTCCAGGCATAGCTTGTGAGCTGCTCAAGGGGCTCCACCACGCCGTAGAGGTGCTGAGTCACCCTCTGCACCTCCCGAATGCGCCAGGCCCGAGACCGGGTGAAAGCAAATGCCGCACTTGTCGTGCTTCTCCGGCGCCAACTCCTGTTGTCAGCCCAATGCCAACCGTTAGAGAAACGGGCTGGTGCACACCAGTCGAATCCCTGCCGGTTTTGGGCCTGCTTACCCTTGTTGCAGTGGCTGTGAAAGAACTCCCTGCTGATCTTCACCGGGCTGGAGAGGCTCAGGTGCTTGTAGCGCAGGCATCCCGCTGCCACAAGCCACGACGACAGCGCTGCTGCATCTCGCTGATCTTGCCCTCCAGGGTGAGCAGCATGGGTGGTTCCACCACCACAGCCTGGGACCTTGCCTTGCGCACCTTCCCAATAACCTTGGGGGCTTCAGGCTGCCACTGCAACCTGCCATTGTTGGACAACCAGCGCAATGACTGCAGCGCTCGCGAGGGCGACATGGCCTGGTCGAGGAAGGCGTGAAAGTCCAACTCCTCCGGGTCCTGCACGAAGAGTGCGAGCTCCTGGTACGTCCTCACTGCGTTCAGGACCGTGGCCGCCTCGGACTGGGTGACTCGCTCCGCAAGCCTCCTCACGGCTTGTTGCCAATCGGCATGGCGCTTCGGATCGTCATGCCTCCGAGGTCGAAGGACGCCCAACTTCATGAAGGCCTCGGTCAACAGGTTGACCCTGCGGCCGACCGCCTCGGCGTTGTCCGGGTTCTGCCGCAACCTCAGGCCCACTTTGCATGTGGGGAGCCGCACTGCCGGACGGCGGAGAGTCGAGGGCCCCCACCCTCCGGGGATCCGCCTCCACCACTGCCGCTGCTGCCGGGAGAAGGTGAGATTGCTGCTCCGCACGCACCCGCGCCCATTCAGCGGCGACGAAATGGCCACCCACGCGGACGGCATCCTCGAAGGCCTCGAAGGCGAAGCCGAAGTCAGCCCGGAAGGCCCTCACGTTGGCCTCCTGAACTCGAGACATCAGCCCTTCGCCAGAGCCGCCCGGGTCGCTCCCGGAGCGCTCCATGGCTTCAGTGGCATAGCGCCCAGGTGCGCCGCGAAACGCCATGGCTAGGAGCAGCCCCCCCCAGCGTAGAGCCTTGGCAGCAACGGATGGGGCAGGCTTCGCATTGGTGGATGCCACATGATGCGCAAACAGATTGAGCCCTGTGACCGCAGTAGGCGCAAAAGCCGCCCACGAAAGGGAGGTCGCCAGATTCCACCCGGCCAGCAACGGCGGAGACATACATCGGGATGATGTGCTGGGCACGGAGGCCACTGCCTGCCTCAGCCACCATGGCCTCTGACAGGCAATCCTCCTCATAGCACCCATGATAGGCGGCCCAAGCCTCCGAAGCAGTTGCGCCTTCTTGAACCAAGACTGCACGACGACACCAGGTTCCAATGAACGGGAACTTGAAGCCGCCACTGTCTGCCACAGGCAAGGGCGGTTGCGCGAAAGGGGCATGCAACACTTCCACAGCCGAAAGCCAGAGCAGCCGGGCCTGGCCGTGATGCCCCTGCTGCAGCAAATAGTCCACATGGCGCTTGAAGTCGAGGTAGGCGCCTGTGGATAAGATAGGACGATCCGTGTGAACGGCCAAGTTAACTCCTGGAACTGCCAACATTTTCGACAAGTAACCCTTGCCGAACACGCAAAACCAGAAGTCAAAATTAGCCAGTTTGGATCATCCTTGAGCCAAAAGGCCCAGCATGATCCAATACACTCCTTGCAGAATGAAGCCTGTAAACCCAAGCCTTCCAACCTGATACAGGATTATACAGCCTTGTTCACATAGCATATATATATATATATATTTGTAATCTACACATGTGAATGCTCTCGTACAAGCCTGTGCATGTGCATAATTAACTTCTATTGAATGCTGCATAATAACATCAGTGTGCATTCTGACCCCCAGAGTCCATTTGTTTCACCTTGGCCATGTGAGTATAGCATCTCTGATTACATAGCGGGGTCTGGAGAAATGCCTGTCGCTTTGGCGTCCTTTTGGGAAACCTAAGCCAGAATTGACTACTTAGCACCCTCCCTCTCTCTCTGAACTGCTATCCCGCAAATCCCACATCATGAGCACCTGTTGGACATCCACTCCCCCTGACTACTTGGCACCCAGTATGGACATCCGCACCCGCCCCCCGCCCCCCCGTGATGTTTTTTCTTTCCGGCGAGGCGTAATGCAGCAGCGGCAGCAGCTTCTGCGGGGGGCAGCTGGCGCGGCAGAGCGGGCAGGAGGCTTTGATGGCGCACCTCGGCGTCGATGCGGCGCCGAACTCGCTCAAAACGAATTTCCTGGCGCGCGCCCAGCTCGTTTCCCCCCCCCCCAGCTCGTTTCCTTAGTGGATTGCTCCCCCCAAAAGTCACTCATTGTTTGCTAGTAGAATGGCTGTGCCAAAAAGAATAAGGTTCAGAAACTTGGGAAGGGACCAGAAAGGTCGTGACATGTCGGGTTTTTGGACAATTGCAAATGTCATCCCCCAGCTTTACTTATTAGTTCAGGGGCTTCAAAGCTTAAACTTTGAAGTTGAAAGGCGCCACCACTCACCGCCAAGTCTCCCAGGCGTTGATTGTGGCTCAGGTATAAGTACACCCAGTTTGCAGTGGCTTCTCGGGTGGTTTTTTGACACTTCTATGCTCCATTTGCCCTTGGAGACGCTTTGACCTGGAATTCATGCCCTCAATAGGCATCCTGATGGTGGCTGTTGAATCCACGCTGATGATCATGGCACATTTGGGGCTTTGTGTTTTGTAAGGAGTGATGCCTGAGAATCCTTCTTCCCAAGAACAAGAACCCCTACCCGCAAAAGAGAAACCAGGGCAACGGAAGGAGCCTTTCCGCAGAGTGGTCCTCCTGCAACCTGTTTTGGGACAAAAGTTGGATATGTTTTCCAACATGGAAGTCAAGAACGGACAGCCAGACTAATCCGAAGGAAGAACATCCCTAGTCTAAAATGGCTTTTCACAAGGAATGCTTGAGACTAATCCGATCCCGAACAATTCAGGTGTCAAATAAGGAACCTCTATCCCGCGAGTTCTCTGCCCAGGTGCCAGCTGGCAATGCAGTCCCAGCAGAACAAGTGACCGCAGCTGGTGGCCGTAACATGCTCTGCGGGGCAAAAGCCTGCGGTGACATGGTGAGGAGGAGCAGGAGGCCGGGAGAGTTAAGCAAGGGGCAGCTCCCCCCTTTTTCAACGTAATGGAGGCATAACCAACGTTTGAAGCAGAAACAAAGAGGTAGAACCATGTGTAAGCATGTGGAAGCAGGCAGGCAGAAGCACAAACAACTTATGTAAACGACAAGGTGGAGACCTGTGTGGAAAGATGCAGGGTTGTGGAAGCAAGGCGCAGCAGAATTGGTTGCTTCCCCAACCAAAATCATGTTTGTTGATGTTGCTTTGTTGGACCCAACTGCTGGTTGGAGATAACATTCAAAAAGATCCCCGGCAGCAAATTTACACACGAAACATGCCCCTACCTCAGAAATGGCAGGACCCTCCCCAAAAACAATTCCCCACTTCCTGAGTGAACGGCCTTCTTAAAAAAAGTCCAAACTTTTTGTGTACCACTAAATCGGTCTTCCCAAAGAGTTTCAAAGTGGGCAGTGAGAGAACTCGGAAAATTCTGATTTGGCCATGGGCCATGGGTCAAAATCCCGTACCCCCAGTGAACATCCCAATCCCCACTAAAATAGACAAAAAAGGGTGGTGAAAAAAAAAATGGGATCCCATTGGTTTTGACCCATGGCGATACGGGTATGGGTCAAAATGAAACCACCAGGGGACCGCAAGTTTTAATCCTTGGTTCCATTTTCCAGGATTCCATTTTGGGTACCTGGTTGACCCACAGCCAGATACCTGCAACCTCCAAAAAACCGCGAGGTCCAGCCGCGGGGCAGATGTTGCACAGCGGGCTCCCACGCGCCAGTCGCAGCTTCGGCGCCGGGCCGCAGGCGGTGCGCACCGCCGCGGCGCCCAGGAGACCGCCGCTGTCGGCGGCGGCCGACCTGAACGAGTCCGACCGAACACGAGCCAACGCCCTGGCGGGATGTAACCATGTCATGTTGAAGCAAGTCATGTTCAAACAAGTCGTGTTCTGCAAGTCTTGTTGAAGCCAGCTGTTTTGGTGGAATGGTTCTTGCAGTTTTCTTGCCTAGCCCTGCGGTTGTTTAGAAAGTAATCCACCATGGGAATGCAACGGTTGGTGTTGCAATCTCCTCTTGCAGGATCCATGACTATCCTTAGTGACCTCAAGACAGCAGTTGGTCTCTTGACCATTGCACGCATGAGAAAACCAAAGAATACAACATTCAAACAGTTGCGAAAGGAGCCGGACTTCAGACCGTCCCCCGGACCTTCCTTTCCTCAGCCTCTAGCGAAGGGCCGCGTTTCCCTTTCTGGACGGACAGGGGCGCGGTGTCACCGCCACGCGCGAGCCCCGGCGAGTGAGTCTCCCCCTGTGGCCTGCGCTGCAGCTTGGCGAGCGCTTGGCCCAGGACCTGCGCCAAGAGGAGGACGCCCAGGGGCCGGTAGCTGAAGCTCCTGGCCGGGATCTCCGGATCTCGCCCCAAAGCACTGAGCCTCGAGCCCCTTCTTTCCCCAGCCCCGGGGACGGCAGAGGGGTGGTCGCTTCATAGTTAGTAACTACGGGGGTGGTCGCCTCATGCTTAGCAAAATAACTCGAGTTCAAAGGGCTTACAGCTGTGGGGGGGGTTAGCTCTTAAGATTGGCCGAGTCTGAACTTTTCTAGTGGATGGTCTTTCAGCCAAACGGAGCTCGCGAGTTGGAGAAGCGACTGCACGAATGGCCCAAGCGGAAGAACTCATTGGGGAGGTCTTTGTTGGTACACATGGCATGGCCTTCCTTTGCGTGTCTGAATGCCTTTAGTTCCCATAAAGGACATTGGACAAGTAGGGCTCCCTCCCCCCATCGTTTGTCGGACACTTTGTGAGGCTCACACGAACGAACCAACCAACCACAAGGCTTCCATAGAAAGACACAATACGGATCTTCTGGACATCACATGTTGCGCAAGAAATAGGGCCCTCTTTTGAATCGGCTCATTGGGAAACCAGGAGGAAGCCAACGATCATTGACAGGGCTCCTTCTCTATCCTTCTGAAACATGCCTTCACAAAAAGGAAAATCAAACGCAGAAGGAGATGCTTATAAGCACCCAGTCACATCGACAATAAGCATGGTGAATCATGTGGGGAGCCTCCCCCAAATGTGGTCCGGATCCCCTCTAAAACTGGTCCATGCTTGCCTACCTATGCAGGGGTTCAATGATCCTTTGCTATACCCCACTTGCAAGTCACTTCTGGCTCCCGCCGGATTCCATAACCTGCTAACTAAGAGGAGTATGCATGTACGAGGGGTATGTCACTGGAGCTGCTTGAAACTCTCACTTCCTGAGTGGATTGGCTATACACAAAGTCTAAACATGGCTAAACTTTTTATTGACCACCAACATGGAAGAAAAATGTAGGTTTGGGAGTGAGTCTGTAGGTCCTGTATTTGGGAACGTGCTGAGATGGTGCACTTAGTTTAACCGCCACTCAACCCTCAGCAGTCTCGTTTTGCAACCCTTACCTGGCGCCCACACCTGTGAACCATCTGAACATCTAGCCCAATCACCCAAATTTTCAGACTCATTCTGTTTCATGTCGAGTCTACCCTTCAGGAAACAAGTTATAGCGGAGCCCCAGCTACAGGAAGCGCCCCGGCGTCCGGAACCGACCCTCCACCCTCGCGCTCGCACTCGCATGGATCGATCGCCTGTACGGCCGCTCTGCGAGGCTCAGGGCCCTCAGCCCCAGCAGGCGCTCGGGCAGGTGCCGGAACCGCCCGAAGAGGTAGAACAGCCTCGGGCGGTGTCAGTCAAAAAGGGGGGGGCAAGGGCCCCACTCGACTTTGGTTGCTCTGCTTTGGGCCTCTTGCTTTCGGATGTTTGGATTGGGGAATGGTGAGCTCGCTTTACCTCAAGTTGAGCTCGCTATAAAGTAGGCAGACAATTAGCCATCATTTGTTCAACCCAAGGGAGAAAACTGTTTCAACTTTTCACTGAACCACCTTGAACCACCAATCTTTCAAACACCACCATGGACCCCGATGCTCGAGGCGCGCCAAGTGGAGCCGCAGAAGTAGCGGCGCCCACTCCCAACGCGGCATCAGCCAGGCGCTCAGCGCGCCCAGCGCGGGCGCCGCGAGGCGGCGCCAGGCGGCGGCCGGGCGAAGGCGGCGATCCACCAGCAGCAGCTCGGAGTACTCCTCCCCCAGGCTGCTGCCGGAGGCCTTAAAGCGGGAAGATCCGCGGGAAATTCAGGGCTTAACTTGGTTGACGTTGGGTTTGGGGAGCAAAACATTTAACATTTTAGCAGTTAAGTGGGCCCGCCCCCATGATACAAGGGGCAAGCGAGTTTCGGTTTTAAGAGAATGAGGCTGAAACCTTGGGCTGAAGAAGGGCCTTGGGACCCCTCAAAATGTATGGTGTGAAGTGGAGTCCCAAAATGTAGGGTGGAAAGGGGTGTCCCAAAAATGACTCAACCCCCGAAAATGTGGAGGCCTTGTGCAAAATGAGCCCGATTCATCACTTCGAAACCTGTCTGAGCCCCCAAAATGACGGAACCCCCCAAATGATGGAACCTTCCAAAATGTATGGTTTGAAGTGGCTTCCCAAAATGTACGTTGGAAAAAGGGGTGTCCCAAAATCGTTGACTCAGTACCCGATCCCGGTTGTTAAATGGAAATGACAAGAGCCACCGAGTTTGGGGGGCCCCCCCTTTTTGACACGTGAGCCCAGTCATCACTTTCATTGGTGAAACCTGTCTGAACTCTCCTTGTCTCTTTCCGAAGGGGAAAAAAGTCCACTGACTGACAAGCTGTGCCTTACTTTCCGCCCTCGATGCGAATGCAGCCCCCCCCCCCCGACTGCTGACTGCGGCCCCCGGCCGCAGTGGCCGAGGCATAAGCCGCCTCACTGAGCACTCGCAATGGCTCCTGCCAGTCTGGCGCCCTTCTTCCCAGGAGCTCCTGGCATCAAGTCTGGGACCACCTGCTTTCACTGGAATCCTCAGTTCCAATCAGTAGATAGCCCAAAACAAGTACGACAGTAACCAAACTTGTTGTTTACCAAAAGCTTCAAGTCACAAAACTCGGGAAGTGAGCTTGAGTGGAGTGGCCCGGACAAAGTCAAACGCTTCTTGTTTACCACTAAAATGCGAACCCCAACAGATTGAAGTCCGCTGAAGTGTGGGGTGTAGAATCTTTGAGCACCGACTTTGGACCCCGTTAAGTTTACCATTTTAACCTTTAAGGCCGGACAAAGTCTGAACACTAGACTGGTGATTTAAATATCCCCGCTTGGCGTTTTTGAAGGGGGCAGATCTGAGTTTAAGACAGGTTTTGTCCAACCTGGTCCCTGCTCATACGCCCAATAACCGCATAGATAAATCCAAAAGCGAGTGCAGGATTCCCACAATGAACCCATGATCACCTTCTTCAAAGAATAGATGCATACGTCATCATCTGTCCATATATAAGCCAGTTCAAGAGCAACAACTACATCTTCCCAGTGTGCCTGGGGGATTCTCCCCTAAAACCAGTACACAAACAACGAAAGAAAGGGCCCTTTCCTGCTTGGATGGGGTTGGAAGGAGGGTAAAGTTGAAGGAAAACAATCCATGAAGAGGGGTCCCTGTTTTGAGACATGCCCAAGCCCTCTGAAAAGGGGGTTGTTGAAGATGGGGGCTCACTTATCCCAACCCATAACCTGTAGTGGGACACCAAGGGACACCGCTGCCGTCTGCATACGGACCTTCGCGGATTGTGTCTGTGTGTGTCCAGGTTCTCAACAATTATTGGAGCCACTTCATGCTAGTGTAAAGGACAAATGAGTGGTGCTCCTTGTGGCTTCCCTTGAACAAGCCACACAAAAAGGGGGTACCTTCCAAAAAACGACGAGCACTCGACCAATTGGCGCATCGGCCTGCCTCGGAAGCCTCGAGCACTTTTCGCTGCAGCTCGCCCCGGCACAGCTCGTCCTAAATTGACTTCCCCACGAGTGGATGGCCCGAAAAAGTAACCACACTTTTTATGCGCCACTAAGATTGTCTTCCAAAAAAGTGACTCTCTCACTCCCTAAGTTCCTGGACTTTGTCACTTAAGTCCAGGAGCTCAGGGAATGAGGGAACCAAAGGGACGTGATTGAATTGAGGACCCTTTTAAAAGTGGACATCATTTGAGCGGTGCCAAAAAAAGGGTACAAAAAAGCCTCTACTAACAAACCGCTTTCGCGGAACCTTTCGGGGCCACTTTCGCGGAGCCTTCGCGAGAACCACAGAAACTGCAAACATGCACTTTCGCAACGCTTTCGCGGCGGGCTCTTCTTCAGCCACTTTCGCCGCAAGCTTTCGCGGGCTTTCGCGCTCTGCGTTTTAGCTTTCGCGAGGCTTCGTTAAGAGAGGCCCTCAATTAACTCCGCTCATAAGGGTTCTTGGCGCCCATTTGGGAGGGGGATTGATGTCGACAACGACTTTCAGGTGGTTCCCTGGCTGCGTAAGGCGCTGGAGGCGCTGGAGGTGTTTGGTGAGGGGAGCCATGCAAATGCGTCGCCTTCAAATCTGAGCTCGTCCGAAGGAAGCTCAATTCAGACTGGCAGGCGCAAACTGGGCTCGTTGCCTCAGAAAGTTCAACTGAGATTTGTTGGAGAAGCCAGAAAAGGCAAAAGGTGAAAGGAAGGGCCATGTCTGGGCCATGTTTTATGCTCTATTTTGTTTGCAGAGGCTACTTACGAGCCTCGTCTTGGTGACCGGTTGGCGCTGAGTTTCTCTGCGCAAAAAAGGGCTACCCATTCTGAGCTGAGTTGACTGGCCAAGACGAGAGCATACTTGGGGGCCTCGGTTGGATTTGCAGCCCCCAGGACCAGAATCAGGGAGCTGACGAGCGGTGGCTGAAAACAACAGGCCATCACAAGTTGGCCTCGCTTCCTGAGACTCTTGGCCAACAAAAAGCAACCAGGCTTGTTGTTTACCACTAAAAGGGCGTAAGCCCAAAAGCGACTACCGTCACTTTAATTTAACCCGTGCGCAGTGAGTGGCACCTTCCGAAAAGTGGAAGGGAACCACCGAGCGCGAAACCCAGGTCAGCTCTGCTCGATTCGCATCGAGCGCCATCCTTCTGGTCCGCCCGCAGCAGGTCCGCCGGGTGTGCGAAGGGCAGGGGGCGAGCTTCCATGGCTCCGATCCCGGGAGCCTTCATGGAAACCCAAGCCGAACCGCAACCAAAACGAGGTGAGTCACTTGCTCAAAACCGATGGGTACAAAAAAATATGAACCCAGCACCATGCTTCAAGAACTAGAAAGGCGGCCGCAACTATTTGATCGCTACCAAAAAAATGGTGAACCCAGAACCATGCTTCAAGAACTACCAAATTGGCGGATATCCGCAACTATTTTTCCAGCTGGGACTGCCCCTTGCTCACCTTCATCTACCCGGGTTTTGATTGTGGCTCAGGAATTGGTGAAAAGACTTCCAAGCTTGACCCGTTGAGCGGGTGAAATGGGCTTATGTTATTCCGTTTCTCTCATTGGGCTTCCGGTTGTTGTCCGTTCTTCTCCTTTATCGAAACTGGGCCCTTACTCCTCCAAGTCCAAGAGCCACTCCACCAGGTCTCTGAGATGGTGAAAAAAGTGGGAAGAAATTCCAAGGCGGCCGTGACGAAATTCCGGCCGGACTGGCCGTCATCTACCCAGCCTCTTTCAACAGCTTGGTTTGTGCCTATTGAACGTGAGCACCGCGCAGAAGGACGTGAGTAGCTCAGTTCTCCAAAGCAAATCCACCTCACCGTTGGCTTCCCCTCCTTTTTTGACCCAGTCTTAGGTGGACACCTGTTTATCAAACCAAGCAGTGTTTGCAAGCGAGGCGGTGGGTCTCTGTCGAGTCGTATCGTTCTTTAAAAAAAAGGATCTGACATGCTCGAGAAAAATGGAGGAGGCGCAAGAATGAGGAACCAATCCTGGGGCCACTTTTGATATTAAGTCTACTGATGCTCACTCGACATGGTCCAGAATCTAATGTTTGTTTAGGTTGGGGCAAAAGCTGAAGCTTCCCAGATCTTCCCAGAAATTGCCGAATGCCTACCCAAAGCATGGCCTTGTGCTAGCTTCCTGTAGAATTTCTTGTGGCTCTAGCTTCTT